GGGTGAAAACTACTCAGGGGGAATGTAAGACAGAGACCCCCATGAAAAACAGAACACCTCAAGATTAAGGGGTAAAATCTCTTAGCAGGAAACGAGACAGCCAACCTAGCTCTGAGTCAGGAGTTAAACAGTGGGCCAGTCTTCAAGGCCATGGGCGTCTTCAAGGAGATGGCTGGTTGGGACATTAGTATAGGCTTTTAAGATGGTGTGGTCAGCAGATACAGACAAGACAGTCAGTAAGACCAAACCCCAGGGGACAGGACAATATTCTGCCCTGTTCTGCAAATATTAGGGACTCTCCCAGATTTGATAAGGAGCAAATTCTAGATGGGAAGGACACAAGTAGGCATAGAATCATCACTGAAGTAACTCGCAGTTACTTTTACCCTATTAGCATAGTAAAAAGCACACCCCAACATGAAGACTTCACCCATTTAGTTCCAAGTTTTTAAAAATATTCTTTATTAATTGTTGATGAAATTTTAAATTTTATTTATTTGTATGTGGTGCTGAGAATCGAACCCAGTGCCTCACACATGCTAGGCAAGTGCTCTACCACTAAGCCACAATCCCGGCCCAGTTCCAAGTTTTTAATTCTGCAAATATTTCAATGACATGGGTGCATTATAGTACATTGGAAATCATTACCATCAGCTGCAGCATATTTGTCGTTTATTATCAGTGAGGAAAAAAATACCTACAAACAGGACACTGGAACAATACACTATCTTAGAAATATATAAGCCATCCAATGAACAGGACATTGGGCGCACATCCCACAGTTTACGAAGAAGCGGCTGTGACAACCTGCTCCACAACAGTGAGAAGGAGCCAACCCCCTCAGACACAGGGTCACACTGAATTCCTGATGTCTGCTGTCTCCTATGACTTGTTCTCACATCACTGTTCCCACAGTTTGAAGATAAGATGGCCTCTCATGTCCAGTCTGACACCATTGTGGACAGTAGCAGCCCCAGGAGCATGACCCTTTCTTCCTTCTGGTGATTTAGAGAGCTAGGCAGATGGCTCTTCTGAAATCCAACAGATTTGAGATTTTTGTCTTTGTTCACAAATCTGTAAATAATTCATATACTTATGATACGTGTATCAATTATTCAAGTGAAGAGTCCAATATCATTGTTTACCTCAAATAGAAGTGAAATATTTGGAAACCAACCAATCAGGTCTATCGCACCACACTGAAATTGTTATAAGTGCTTACTACCTGTGGTTGGGTACATTGGCTCATAATCTTTTAAAATATCTATTTAGTTGTAGATGGACACAATACCTTTATTTTACTTATTTTTATGTGGTGGTGAGGATCAAACCCAGTGCCTCACACATGCTAGGCAAGGGCTCTACCGCTGAGCCCCAGCCCCAGCCCCAATCTTTTTTTTTTCCTTTTCTTTTGTGCTGGGCATTAAACACAAGGGTGCCTTGCCTCTGGGCTGTATCCCCAGTCCTTTTCATTTTTGGGTCTGGAGCTCAACATGAGGGCACTGGGACTGCGGGATGTGCTATGGTGCCCGCCTTCACCTGCTCTTCACTGAGGTTCTCTACCGCGGACAGCTGTGGAGTACTCCATTGTACTGTGGTTCATTCCAACAAGGACACGTTTATTATCCCACCATTTTACAGCAAGGACTTCATCATGAGCACTGAATCTGTAATCAGGTGACCCTCTTGCTTATTTTATCATCAAGGTCGTTGGTTTCAGAAGATACTTGTTCAGTCTGTTTTTCCTCACAGTGCCTGGTGCTTAGAATCCAACATTTCAAAGATGTATCAACAAATCATAAGCAGTGAACAGACTGTCGGAAAAAAATAGTGTGATTCAGAGTGTGATTGTGTATTCTTGACTATTTCAAGCATTTATAGAACCACTTTATTCTCAAGGAAGAAAAGGAAAATTGATTTTTTTTGGGGGGGGGGTACCAGGGATTGAACTTAGAGGCACTCATCCACTGAGCCACATCCCCAACCCTATTTTGTATTTTATTTAGAGATAGGGTCTCACTGAATTGCTTAGTCCCTTGCTTTTTGCTGAGGCTGGCTTTGAACTTGCAATCCTCCTTCCTCAGCTTCCTGAGCTGTTAGGGTTACAGGCATGTGCCATTGTGCCTGGCTGGAAAATGGATTTTGAGTAGATGACTAGAAATATTCAGTTATACATCCAGTGTGCTTTTGGTTTCTCTTTATTACAGCACCAGGCATAAAACATTTATTTATATATCTAGCTTGCTATGACTATTAAAGGCAGTACAGTAGCCAGGGCCTTAACAGCAAAAGAATGGCACAGAAAAGGGGTGTCTGAAGAGAGTATAAAAAAATGGACATTTACAAAGACACAGACAGGATTGTGGGAACTGACCAGACATGGTGAAACACCAGGGACTGCAAAAGAGGTGGCAATTATTACCCACCTTATTGTTCGCTGCTACTAAAACCAGCCAGTGCTGAGGCAGCAGAGGCTGTGCTCAGCCTCAGCCAGTCTTACAGGGTTAAAAGCTGCAATTGAAAATTAGGGCTTAAACAGTGGGCCATCACAACAGTCACGGAGATTGTGACACAACAATCATGGAGAATAACACTCTGACCCTCATCTCCTTTCTGGCTGTGCCTTTAATTGGGCAAGTCCAACAGGAAGCCAGAGGGAAAACACAGGCCATATAAGTCAGCCTCTTTGAACTCCAGGCAGAGGCAAAGATGAATTCTGATGTACAAAGAGGATAATGAGGGCAGGCGGATATTGCTTCTGTGGCCCAGAACTTTCAGGCAATCCAATGCCTGTTACTGTGCAGTCCACAGTGTCCCAGCGTCCTATGTATAGGACAGTTATTTTCCACCACTGAATTTGAAATACAGTTTGAAATACAGTGCATTCCTTGAAATAAAATGACAACCCAGTTCTAAAAAATACTTCCATAATTTCTTATATTATGCATCAGTTCAGTACATAGTACATAATATTTTGTCATTAAAACTCTAAAAATAGTTACTTCAAAGTCACCATAGTAGCATATTTATTGCTTAGCTTTATAGGTGCTCCACCTCTGGGACAATGGGCAGATGGATTAAGATGGTAATGAGACATTGTAAGGATGGCCTTAAGTAACTCCATTTTGAAACAAAACCGCAGTCCCCACCAGGTTCACTTAGGGAGACCTCCAATATGGTCATCAGACACAGCCTGATAAAAGCAGTCACTTCTCAAAATTCTGACAAACTCAAAGACTGCCTGTCACATTGCCCTCGCCCTGATAAAGGCAAGAGGTGAGAAAATCAGGGTGGGAATCACCAGACCAGATGCCTTAAACTCAGGACAAATGATGTCACTGAGAAACCTGGTAACAGCTGATAGGGATTGAAAAAATTTAGTATAAATGATGGGACCAATGAATAGACATTCAGCCAGTGACACTGATAGCCTCACTGAGAGCCTGATGAGGACCTGGACTGACATCCCAACTCTTCTCATCATCTGCCTGATCCTCTGCATCTTCCTCACCTCTTTCAAACTCTACAACCACATCTTAACCCTGGTGAGAACAGCAATTTCCCCTTATGACCCTCTCCTCATGGAGAAACCTGCCTTGGTTCCTCACGTGATCACTGAGGTCTGAGAGAGTGTGCATCTGCTGGACTTAAAGCCTAAGGCTGGAGACTTTAGATCTGGCACTTGAGCTTAGCCTGCAGAGGGAATGTCTGTCACGATTAAGTGTGATTGCAGTGCTTGGAATTAACTTAGAATTGTTTGCTATGGACTGATTATGTCTCTTTCAGTGCCCAGCATTAAGGATCACATTTTCTTGATTAAGAACCTACAGAATGGGCTGGGGCTGTAGCTCCGGGGCAGAGTGCCTGCCTCGCACGTGTGAGGCAATGGGTTTGATCCTCAGCACCACATAAAAATAAAACAAAGTTATTGTGTCCATTTACAGCTAAAAAAAATTAAAAAAAAAAACCTACAGAGTAAAATTGTATTGCGTGATTTGAGTGAATAAAACATACAAAGGGGCAGAAGCGCATGGGCATTCTTTATTTCTCCCCCTCAACTGTATGAGTCGCATCTTTGCCCACTGAGACAGGTATGAATGGCACTCAAGAGGCACGATGAAGACCAGGCCCAGCTAACACTGTGTCTCTGCCCTCATGACATCGAGCAGCAGTCCCGTGGATGTCATGAAAGCTGCACACCTTTGCCTTTGAGTCAGCCTGGAATGTCCGTCTCCCCCTCCTTTATGCTCAAGCCTAAGAATAAAGTCTTGTTTCTGCTTTGATCTGATTCTTCTGGCAGGGAGTAGTGGAACCCACACTTTTACTTAGCATAGTTTTCGAAGTTCGTCCACGTTATAGCACAGGTCAAACTTCATTCCTTTCCAAGGGTGAATAACATCCCATCACATGCACGTGGACATTCTGTTCTGCACACACACTGGCGCTGCTTCCACTTGGCTGTGGTGACGAGGCTGCCGAGTCGCACCGACCGCCCAGTCCGTGCCTTCGGTTCTCCTGGGTGTCCACCAGGTGGGGGCTTGCCACAGTCCTACCTTTACCTTTCTGAGGAACCCCACGGCCGTTTCCGGCGGCTGCACCTTCACGTTCCCAACAGTGCACAAGGGTTTACACGTTTCAACACTTCTTTCCACCCACAAGCCAGGCTTTCATGTCTCCGTAAAAGGCCTCGGGGCGTCTCGATCGTTCTCTTCCGGCCGCAGCTTGGCGTCAGCAGAGCCTCCCGGCCCAAGGCAACTGTTAACCGGTTCATCTCCACCCGGAGCCCCTCGAGAACCTCCAGCTGCCCGGTGCGCAGACACTGCGAGTCGCCGCTGCCGGCGCTCCCCGATGACGTCACCCGCGGCTCGCTCTGCGCGTGCGCAGCTCCGCGTTGCTGAGGCGACGGCGCAAGTCTGCCGCCCGCGGTCTGGGTGCTCCCGGCGTTCAGCCGTTCTGACCCCGCCCGCCGGGCGCAGTCGCTCAGCGATGACGTTGCGGGGGCCTGGCCGGGCGTCGCGGACTCGGGAGATGGAGGAAAAGGAGCAGCTGCGGCGGCAGATCCGCCTCCTACAGGGTGGGTCGGCCCCGGCCGGGCCGGGCGTGCGTTCCCTTTTTTCCCCCTCACCGCTGGCGGGCCTCTCCGGAGTGGTAGACCTCGCCCGCGCTCTCTCGACGCTCGGGACCGCGGCGTCTGTGCGGGATCGGCCTGGGCCGGTTTCCGGCGGGTCCCGGGCCGGGCGTGGGCAGCGGGCCTTCCGGGCAGGGGCGGCCGGTCGCTCGGGGTAGCGCGCTGGCGCCCGGCTGGGCCCGGTCCTTCCCTCTGTACCGACGCAGCCCCTCGGATTCCAGGCCGACTCCCCAGCCCTCAGCTTCCTGCTTAGAACCTAAGTTGGTCTTTGTAGGCTTAAAACCCTTCCAGGTCATCCCCACAGAGGGAGGCCTCAGGAGTGAGAATCCGGCGGGCTGCCGCCGCTGGGCTTCCCTCGCACTCGCCCTGAGCGGGCGCCTGGTCTGGAATGGCTTTCTGTTTGTCTGGGCAGGACTGGCCTGGGGGTGTCCGTAACTGGAGGGCTGCCTGTTGGTTTGGCAGCCGAGTGTTGGTGCCTGTGTCCTGCTTCCCTGCGCCAGGCCAGCCACTGGGGACTTCCTTGGAAAGCCTGTGGTGTCAGGCCTCCTGTTTTGGAGAAGACAGTGACACATCAGGAAGGTCACCAGCCTGTGTATTGAGTGTTCTTTTATCTGCTGTCAAGTACCAGTGTTGGGGGGCGTTGTTTCCATTACACTCCGTGGAAATTATTGAGCATCCTTCCCTTCTGTGGGCAGAGCAGAGGTCCACTCTGGCTGACTTGTATCCTTGTCCAGAGATTGCAGCTTGGGACCTGGCTGGTCTCTGCATATGGAGTGACACTTCCCTTAAAGAATTGTGGATCTAACAAAGCAGCAAATAGAAACTGACCTACCACAGGGCTGCATTTTCAGGATAAACCAGCAGAAGTAATATTGAAATAGAACAGATGGGAAAAAGTCTTGTGCAAAAGACAGGCCTAGGGTTTTGAGCTGAACTGTTTCCAGGCATTGGGGGCTGCCCCCTGAATCAGGCAGGGACTCCGGAGGCAGGGTCTGAGGGCATCTTGCCAGCTTATGCCCCTCCCTTATAGTGATTAATGCTGCTGTATTCACACCTCTGGTTGACTGAGTCTGTAATTCTGTCTTCTCAGGTCTAATCGATGACTACAAAAACCTCCATGGCAATGCCTCTGCCCCAGGCACCTCATCTGCTTCCCAGTGGCAGCCACCCTCTTACCACAGTGGCAGGGCCTTTGCTGCCCGCTACCCTCGTCCAAGCCGAAGGGGCTTCTCATCACACCATGGACCTGCATGGCGTAAGAAATACTCCCTTGTGAACCGGCCCCCGGGATCCTCAGAACCAGCTGGTGACCATGCTGTGCAAGCACCCCTCAAGGACGAGGGCAGCCAGGACCCTGACCCTCAGCCGTATATTCTTGAGAGACAGGTCCAGCTCAGTCCAGATCAGAACATGGTCATCAAAATCAAACCACCATCAAAGTCTGGCTCCATAAGTACTTTAGGAGCCCAGCGGAGCTCTTTGGAAGACTATGAGGACATGCCCTGGAGTGACCAAAGACCCCAGGAAGGCGAGGATGAGCCTCCTGTTGGGAAGCTGCAGCCCTTGAGGCCAGGAAGAGGCAGGGGGAGCTACAGTGCTAAGGATCCCCTTTTGGTTTGCCAGAAGGAGCCTGGCAAGCCACGGGTTGTGAAGTCTGTGGGCAGTGTGAATGATGGCCCTGCGGAGCCCCGGCGGACGGTCAGTGAGAGCGCAGTTGTCGTCCAGGCCTGCTTGCAGTCCTCCACCTTACCCCCACGCACTGGGATGGCCCTGGGTCGGAAGGTGGGCCCTCATTCTGCAGCCAGTTGTGCTGTGCAGCCCCTTAGGGATGAAAGAGTGAATGCTGGCCATCCGGATCAGCCAGCTCCCTTGGGCTCAGTGGTGGCCCCAGCCAGATCAGTCTCAGGTCCCAGGCAGGCCCGGGAAACCTCACTGCTAGTGTCTTGTCGAACCAACAAGTTTCGGAAAAGCAATTACAAATGGGTGGCCTCCTCTGCAAAGAGCCCCCGGGCCACTCGGAGGTCTCTCAGTCCCAGAGCAGCTACAGAGAATGTGAGCAGGGCCTCCTTTGGCACATCTGGAAAGACAGAGAAGCCACAGCCCAGAGCTGACCCAGAGGCCAGGCCCAGAAGGCTGGCCATGAACTCCAAGACCGGGCCCTCTCCCAGCAAGTACAAGTGGAAGGCATCCAGCCCCTCTGCTTCCTCTTCTTCCTCCTTCCGTTGGCAGTCAGAGGCTGGCAGCAAGGATCATGCTTCTCAACTTTCCCCAGTTCCATCTAGGTCTCCACCAGGAGACAGGCCAGCAGTGGGACCTGGCAGCTTGAAGCCCCTCTTTGGGGAGACACCACTGTCAGCTTACAAAGTAAAGAGCCGCACCAAGATTGTCCGGAGGCGGGGCAGTACCAGGTGTGCATCTCCACTGTCCAGTGTCCCATCTGGGTGCGCGGAGGGGGCTGGGACCAGCAAGATCCTTTTGGCCCCTGAGTTGTGGAGTCTGGGGCAAGCCCTTAGCCTCTGCTCCCTCCAAGAGTGTTGGGAGGGAGGGCCTACCTCCAGGGAGGGGCAGCGAGGGTTGGGGCTCATGGTGGGCATGATCAGCACCACTGGCTTGTGGGCCTGACCTAGGGGCTTCGTGTGGGATTGTGTCCAGTGGGCTGTAGGTGTTACTGTCCTTTAGAGCCATGTCGCGCTTGAGACTCTTAAAGCTGCATAAGGGGAGGCTCAGGGTGACTAAGGAACTTGCCTTGGATCCAGCCAGGCAGTGGTGGGGTGGGAGCCTGGTCTCATGGCCAGAAGCTTGTGAGGCATGGTTTCCCTTCCACATTTGTAGATACAGATGGCATGGTACCAGTCTGGCTTCTGGGGAGCAGCCACCATAGATAGTCTGCCCAGAGTGCAACAGGTGGGGGAGGCTGTGTGGGAGCCTGTGGTTGCCCCCAGTCTGGAGCTGTGGACCATGCATCTGAGCTGGGTGGTGGCCTGGGGCTCTGGGCACTGGCCCTGAGGTGGGGGGGTGCTGGGGCCTTGGGCCCCACGAGGCCCGGCCCTGTTGGGTGTTCTGCCCATGGCCAGGTAGCCTGCTGCTCCAGTTCAGTGCAGTGGGCAGCAGCTGGGTGGGGCTGGTGCACTGCAGCCTCTTGGGATTTCTCAGATTTGAGCTCTGGCCACCCTCAGAAAGTGACGAGGTGGCAGGTGGCCATCCTCAGAGGGAACAAAATGATCTTACATCCCAGCCACTCTCTTGGTGGTGGCCAGGTAACTAGATGGTGCTACCACCTCACAAGCATACAGTCCTTTCTGAGCTACCCATCCTCATGAGTTGTAGAGAGACTCAAAGATGATGTTGTAGCCCAGAGTCTTGTTCTGGGTTCTGAGACTTCATCAGATGAGCAGCTAACAAACAGAAGCGTGAGGCTGCACCGCTGGGCAGAGTGTCTGCTGTGGAGTGTGCCTTCCCAGCCCTGCAGGAGCTCTTTCTTCTGTCTCACCTTTGTCTTTGGCTCAGGGTAGGCTCCCTTCCTCTGACCCCAGTCCCTGTTCTTCAAATTCTTGGAGAGTGGCTTTGCTGTACCATGCCTGTGCTTCCTCTGTTCTGGGGAGTGTGGAGAGGGAGCCTTGGGGCACTCCTCTCACAGGTGGGCGGGGTTGGCCTGTGGGCCTGGTGGCAGCTCCTCCTCAAGGGCTGCATCTCTTTCTGTTGCTGCTTGTCCCCACCCTGTGCAGGAGGTTATTGGACTGGGGAAGTGGGGCGGAGTGGGCATTCCAGGAGGGGTTGGTCTGAGGCCTCTGCCCTGGTGGGCAGTGTGGCAGCCTGCCCTGGCCCGGGTCTTCTGATTACGGATCTGCCTGCTTGCTCATCCTGGCTGCAGAGGGAAGGGGAGGGGGAGAAGGGAAGTGGACTAGCAGCCAGGTGGGCGCTGCGTCAGACTGGGTAGGGAAGGCAGGGCTTTGGAAGAAGCCACGGAGCTCTGCCTGCTTGTGTCTGGGTCCATGCCCTCCCATGAAGACTTGGGTAAGGAAGGGTGGGTGGACAGAGCCACCAGTGATTCCGCTGGTATCTGCTTGATTTTGTCTCTACAGCCTTCCTGGGGACAAGAAGAATGGCCCCTCACCTGCCACTACCAAGAGCCACCTTAACCTGCGGCGGAGACAGGTCCTTCGGGGGAAGAACAACCCTGTTCTGAAGAGGACTCCCAATAAGGGCCTGGTGCAGGTCACTAGGCATCGGCTGTGCCATCTGCCACCAAGCCGGGCCCACCTCCCCTCCAAGGAAGGTATGCCAGGGGAAGGGGCTCATCATGGGATGGGAATGGCTGCAAGCTGCACCCCTCCCTGGGATTGAACCCAGAGGTGCATCTCCAGTGTCTGGTCTTGAACTTGCACTCTTTCTGCCTCAGCCTCCTAGGTTGCTGGAATTGCAGTGGTGCACACCACATCTGGCTCCTCCCTGGCCTTTTAGGAACCATATTTGCTGTCTCCTGAACATGCTGTTGGAGGGCTGTGGACCCAGAGGGCTCTGCCTGGTGGGCAGCGGGAGGCCAGGTGATGAGTGCAGGAGAGGGACTGGGAGTGTTGTGCCTGGGTGGGGGCTAGTGCAGCTAGTGAGGAGTGTGGTAGCCTTTCTGCCCAGTCCTCAGTATGTACCCACTGCGTCCCTCCTGTGGGAGGTGATGGGTAAGAGCCCTTGTGCCCAGCCTCGCCTCCTCCAAGGGAGGCCCACAGGGCTCCGCTCCCCTGTCCTGGGCCAGCCTGGAAGTCTTCGTTGCATTCTCCCAGAGTCACCTTTTGCTGTGAGCAGCCGGAAGCCTGTGGGAGGTCCTGAGAGCTCCCTGCGGTTGCCTGAGTAGATCCTGGCCTACAGGTTGTAGGTATGACTCCTCTGAGGACAGCCCTGTCCCCCACTGGGAGGAGACGTGTCAGGATACACTGACACTGGGGGGCCACCTCCAGGCCAGTGTGTGCTCCGGGATCTGTGGTGAGGGGTCTTGAGTCCTAGGGGTGGCACTTACCTGGTGTGGCCATGGGGAGCTGGGTTTGTCTGAGTACACCTAACCCTGTGGCATCTCCTGTCATTCTCCTTGGAGCACCTGGGCAAATGTGGCCAAGTGTGTGTAGAGTCTGGAAAGGGTGGGGTGCTTGGAGACTAGCAAGCATAGTCATGGGCAGTCTGAGTGGATACTGGCTCTCATTCAGGAAATATTCTTGGCTGACCGGGAAGGTTCTGGGGAAGGCTCTGGGAGGGGCATTGCTGGGCAGAGCTGAGAGCCTGTGTGGAGAGCTGGGTACAGGAGTGTGGGGCCCACGGCCCAGCCAGAGGACTGAAGGGGCTTGTGCAGCTGGGACTGGGGCTGCAGGCTCATGAGGCAGCAAAGTTGGAGGGTGCTGGCTGCTTGCTGTTTTGTGTGGCTGACTCTTGCCATGTGCTGGGGCCAGTGTGGATCTTCCCAGGTGACAGGGAGCAGGGGAACCAAGAGGTACCTGGTGCTGCAGTGCAGTGGCTGGATGGGAGTGTGGAAAAAAGACTTGACTGGACAGAGGGCAGGTGCTCATGGTCAAGTAGGGAGGATAGGTGGAGGAGGACTCCAGCTTTGGGTGGAGGGGCCTGCCGGTGTCATGGGAAGGCAGGGTGGGAGGATGGCTGAGTGAGGTCCTCACTGGTGTCCTCTGAGTCAGCTCCACACTCTGTGCCTGCAGCTGGCCTGTTCGCTCTGGCCTGGGGCAGGGTGGGGTACGGACGGGGGATGGTTCTGCTGGCAGGGGCTGGCACTGCCGTGAGCCCCACAGGTAGTCAGGCAGGAAGGAATGTGGGTCCCTAGGTTCCCACCTCTCCCTGCTGGACAGTATGTAGCCTTGGGTCAGGCCTTGTTGGGAACTGTGGGGGCTGCTATGGTCACTGCCCTGATAGGACCAGGGGAGCGAGCAACCTCATAATCAAGTGTGGTGACTGTAAGGGAGGGCCTGTGGTGATGGGCCTCTGGGAAGGTCTCCTACCCCCTCCCCTGCCTGCCTACTCGCCAACCACATGTTGGTCACTTTGGGGCCAGGCGGCACGCTGGCTCCTAGGGGATGCTGGAGCCATGCTCTGGTGGTAAAGACAGGTGGCAATCTGCGTCCTTATGGACGGACTGGAAAGATGCTTTTGGGTGCTCAGTGTGTTCTGAAAATGAGGAAGCAGAAGAGTGTAGCAGTGAGTCTTGGGAAGGCTGGACAGCATTGACCGGGTGTTTGGGAGGGATTCTCTGAGGAGGGGACCTGAATGAAGAGAGAGCAAGTAACTCTCAGTTCTGCAAGTGGAGGACAGGGTGGGACTGAGTTTCCTGTGTTCCAGGAACAGAAGGGAGGCCGTGTAGCTGACATGTTGTCCCAGGTGAGGGAACCAGACAATGTGAAAGTTCTTGTAGGTCCCAGTAAGAAAAAGAGGGTTGCTTCTGGTTACATTGGGAAGCCAGGGTGGGACAGAAGAGGGTTAGGGTTAGCTGGGACTTGGGTCGTGTTTTCATGGATAGCAGGTGGTGGTGTTGGCCCACAGTGCCCTGGAGGCTGGAGCAGGTTATGAGTCATAGGCCTGCACGTGTGGCCTTGTGTGCCAGGCTACGTGAGTGTCTTCACCTCCCACGTGGGCAGGGGCCTCTGGAAGACGGACATAAGAAGTGTGAGATGCTGAGGCGCACCAGGTGGTCCCAGAGACTGCCATCCGAAACTTGGACAGCAGAGGCCACGAGCTGGGATTGCTGCAGGAGGACAGGGGCCTGGTTAGGGCATCATGAGAGGGGGGGGGGAGTGAGGACAAGCATCTCCCTGGGTTGGGACCTAGGCGGAGCCTGGGTAATCCTGAAGCCAAGGTGAGGCTTCCCCAGGGTTCCTCCTGCAAGGCCTGCTGTCTCCCTCCCTCCTGGCTAGGGCTGTCTTGGGTCCCCAAGCTGGGGATCTTGCTCAGATGTAGTTCTGCCTCCAGGAGGGTGTGGAACCCAAGGTTGTGTGGCTCCTAGGTAGCAGTTCCTCCCAGTGGATGGGGTCACTGGTCAGGGGCTGCCCCTTCATCTGGCTGGAATATTCTCTTTTCCCATTTTCCTCCAGAAAATGCTTAGCCCCAGCTCCAGCTCTCCAGGGAAGCAGTGTCCTGATGTCCAGGGAGGGACCTGACCTCCTAATGGGCTTCTGTGCCTGGGAGGGAGGGAAAGAGGCCTTTGGCAGCTGCAGGGCAGCCCTGCCTTGTGGCCTTGCTGCCAGCAGAGGGCGCACTTGCCTCTCTTATTCTTAAGTCCACCTTTTTCTAGTAATTGATTGCCTAATTTCCTCTTTATGTGAAAGAAAGCAGATATCAAGTAATTTGCAGCAATAACCTGCTAATGCTGGGCCAGTATCGAAACTCCCCTGTTCATTTCAAGTGGCAGATAAAACACTAATACATAATTATCCTTGCAAATTGGATTGTTTTAAATAACCAAAAGGCTACGGCCAGGAGAAAGCGATCCCATCTCCCTCGAGTTACTCTTGCAGCGTAATTGCCGCGTTCAATCAATTTCCCTGGCATTAGAAATTCCATCACAATCAACATTAAGCTTTATTCATTGTGATGGCTAAGAGCCGGGCCATTTCTCCTCTTTTTCTTAACTGGCAAAATTAATCAGGGAAAAGATTTTAAACATTTACCCGTGCGAAAGAGGTCAGCCCTGCCACTATATTGCTCAGCAGATAAGGGGGCTAATAAAAAGAAAATTGAATTACTAATGATCACCAGGAACAGAGTATATAAAACCTGGCAATCGCCAGTTCAGGAGAAGGGAGAATCAATTTTCTTGGGACAAGGTGCGCTCATTTTTTATTTTGGCGCATATTATCAGCAATTTAATTTGAGAGCACATAAACAGGAGGAAACAGTTAGGGAATAATGAGCCCCGAGGTGTAAAGTGCCGCAGGATATATGCTGTACACAATTTATTTGGCACAACAGATAATCACTTTAATTGAATTCAAAACTGCATTGTTCAGCAGCCGTGCGGCCGCTCAGCCCGAGGACTGAGAGTGTCAGGAAGGTTCCAGCCTGACTCAGGGAGTCCCTTCCTGACCCTGTCTCCTCTGCCTCCAAAGAGTTCTCTGGGCCCCAGAGTTTGACTGGAGTGGGGGGGGGGCTTGGGGTACCCTCTTGACCCTGTGCCCCTTGTCTCTGTCTCTTCCTTCCCTTTCTCCTGGGGTTGAAGGCTTAAGATTCTGTTGGCCCCTATGGGGTTGGAGCGTGTGGTGGGTCTGAGTGGATATCTGCCTGATTGTCGTGGATATTGCAGGAGAGTCTGGGGCAAGGGGGGGCGAGACCTTTAGGGTTCGCAAAATGGTGCCTGATTTACTGTCCCCGTAATTCTTGCCATCAGTTACCCAGTGTGATAACCATCCATCTGGGCTCTCACTCTGGTATGGGCATGTGGGGCCTGAGGGGCTCAGGGTCAGCTCTGAGGCTCGTTCTCCTCAGGCCCAGCCAGGCCCAGTGCTGTGTCTGGCTGCCTGAGGAGACCGTGTAGGCTGCTGAGCTGCCCTCAGCGGGGGTGCTGCCTGGGGTGCTGCGCCCCAGGCTAGGGTGCTGCTTGATGCCAACAAGTCAATGTTTCCTTTTCTCTTGCTGTTCTGGGGCTTGAAGCCAGGGCCTTGGTGTGCTAGGCAAGCCTCTGCCATGGAGCTACATCCCCAACCCATTTAATTTTGTTTAAAAATAGGGTCCTACTAGGTTGCTGAGGCTGGCCTCAAATTTGTACTCCCTCTGCCTCAGCCTTCCGTCTAGATACTCAGCCCAATACCTAGACCCTTCACTACTCTCCAGTTTGCTGTCCTGCCCTCCCCAGCCCTAGGCTGGCATCACTGTTGTACAGTTGTGTGTCACCGGGCCTGGCTTAGTTGGGGATTCCTAACAGCCACTTGGAAATGTCTGCTGCTGTGTGCCAAGGAAAAGACTTTGTGGAGATCTGCTGGGGTGGAAGGCCCCTCTACTTTTCTGCTCAGGGTTGTGGGTATGTAGTCACAGCCCACCTCTTCTCCTGCTCTCCATGGTGAGCCTGGGGCCCCGCCCAGGAAGCAGCAACTTTGGCAGATGAGTTGCTAGAGTGGAGGGCTTGGATGAGGCCTTGCTGAAGGTGGATGGGGCTGGGGGCTCCCACAGGCATACCTGCCATGGGCAGGAAGGGCTGGGTTTCTTGGTGTTCTTACATGTGACAATTTGTGACAGTAGGCTGGCCCAAGACCTGTAGGTTGCACAGGATTTCACATAAGCCCCCCAGGCAGAATC